GAACTCCAGAACAGCTCCTACAGAGCCAATCCCACAGCTGCAGCGGGACTTTCTCTGACCTGCTTAACAGCCCTTTCTGGGGTCAGGCTCCCCGGCTTTCTGGGTTTGGAAATCCCAGAGAGGAAATCTCAATGATCAGTGTCAATCCAGCAGCACTCCAAATTTCTGGTCACCTGCTACCATCTCCTTCCCAGCACCTCAAGCAGCTGCTCCGTGCATTCTGTTCAGGTCTAGCCATGTGCTGGGGGAAGACAGGCCGAACTGTGCTCAGCCACCATGCCTGGGACTAGTCCCTGCTCTATGTATTTCTGTAAGGTCATTCAAAACCACTTCTAAAGTCATAAGCAAGGATGAGCGTGGAGGCAGTTTGTTGCTATTCTAAATCTGCCTCTAGGCCTGCAGCCAGTTCCTCCCACCAGTTGCCCTGACCTTCCCCTCCCTTCCTAAGATCTGTGATGCCTGAGGCCCTGAATGGCCCAGACTTCTCAGGACCCAGGGATGAGGAGAACGGTGCCACGTTCAGCTCCCCTAGACTTGCCTCCGTGCGGGTTCTCCAGGCCAAACAGCTGACTGGAAATTCCATGAGGCCGTCCCAGACATTCCAGTCACAAAGCAAACACAGCAGGCCACGTCCTCACCTTTACCCACATGACATCGTTTCATCCCAGACACTGACAGCTGTAAGCCTGTCTGTCCCATCACAGCCACAATCAGCAGCCGCCTCGAGTGCATCTAAGACAACTTTCTGATCAACCTGGTTTCCTGGCAACAATGCCAGTTGCTCAAGCCTGGGTCCACAGTGTACGTCTAAAAGATTCACAGACTCTGTAGTAAAACATCTCCACATGGCCAGCCCTGACGTCTGACCTCTGCTCAAATTACACACTTTCACATTTACTCTTTCAAAATGATCTCCTTGCTGGGGATTTAGCTCAGTGACATCTCGCCTGCCTTGAAAGCGCAAGGTCCTGAAACCGCAAGGTCCCAAGTTTGATTCCTGGTACCGGGGGGAAAAAGGATGGTGATGTAGCTCCAAGGTAGAACCCTTGTCTCGTATGGTTCAATCCCCACCACCACTAAAAATGATCTCCTAAAGGTCTTTGGGGCAGCTGGATGCCAAGACTCGGAGTTCGGGTGTGTCCCCTGGAAACAGGGCGCAGCTGTCAGGCTTGGAAGCCTGCTGTCCTGCTGAGACCCCCAGGAGGACCATGGCAGGGGCCTGCCTGAGAGGGGCACCAGGAGCTGGGCACTGCTGCCCAGGAAACCAGAGAGGAGGAAGGGGGTGGCCTGGAGGGCAGAGGAGGGCAGTGAGGCAGTGCTGCTGCCGGGACGAGGAGTAAGCCTGAGAGCTGTCACCTAAAAGACAACTTCAGAAGAATGTGCTCAGTGGTACAAAACCCCTCCAGGATCACTGCACTCTGGACCTACTTACAACATATGAAACAACTGCAATTAGTTATCTGTGGAGTTACCTGTTAAAGTACCCTTTCTGGGCTGGGGCAAGGGTCATACAAGTTTTGCCTGCCCTTCACTGTATTCCCAGGATGGATCTAGTCAGCAGCTCAAAATGTGGAGCAAACAAAAAGGCCAAGAAGGAGCAGGGGATTTAGCTCAGTGGTTCCGCGGCCTGCCTCACAAGCACAAGGTCCTGAGTTCGATCCCCAGTACCAAAAAAAAAAAAAACCAAAAAGGCCAAGAAATCCAAGAAAGCAAGCCGCCTTTTATTCACAACCCAGCACCATGCCCCTGCCAATGCAACCAGAGCCCAGGTCCAGGCAAACCCAGAGGAGGGCAGGCCCAACCTCCCCACCTGCATTCTCTGACTCCTCCAGTTCCCAGAGTGCGCACACCTGCATGCTCTGGCCTTGTGTGTAACCTGCAGTGACGAAGATGACTATGTCCCCAGTGTCCAATTCTCCCTTCCTTCAAAGAGGGTTTGGAAATGGTGGTGTACACTTAATTACCTGTAGCATCTGTTAGAGCCCAGCTGTGGCCGGCCCTAGAGCTCAGCTCTGGGTTGGGGTGGCACCTGAGAGCCCGCATTTCTCACAGACACCGGGGGATGGTGCCGACGACGATGTCACCAGTCTGGTGACCACACTTCGAGAACCATGGTTTCGGTATGATTCTCTCAACCTTGATCATTTTTGTTTCCTCTGCTAAGAAAAACTCTCTGAAATCATAATGTTGTAGGAAAAACAAGACATAATTTTCAAAATGTTTATGAAATTTGAGCAGAGAACTAAGGTATCATTTCAACGTTTCCCCACCCCTAGAGTCAGAAGAGATGAGCCCCGGATGGGCCCCCTGCCCCTTGCCACCAATGTTCGAGGCCCAGGCGCGATCCGCACTTCCTGCACTCCAGTGAGTGGGCAGACAGAGTGAGAATCATGGCCCAGTTGGCAGACGAGGGGACTGAGAGGAGGGCCTGGCCCCAGGTCAGATAGACAGGAGGAGACACGGCTGGAACCCAGTTCATGGCCCCCGGCTCAGCCCAGGCCCTGGAGCCACCCCACTGCCTTGGCGTCCCTGGTGCTCAGCCAAGACCTGGCCAAGAGGGAGCGGTGTTTGCAGAACAAGGACACAGAGAGGCTGCTGAAGGGCCAGCTGCTGCCCTCACACTGCACTCCACTTCCTGCGCTTCGGAGTGGCCTGGTCACAGGAAAGCAGCAAACACGCCTGCAGCACTTCCCGCATCCAACCCTCTTCTGAGCACAAGACAGGCTTTTACTCCTTCAGTCCTTACCATCTAGAGAGGTAGACACCACTTTTCTCCAGTTTCTGGAGATGAGGAAGTGTGGCTCAGGGAGGCTAAGCAACTTGCCCAACTACGGCGAGCTGGGACACAGGCCCGGGCCGTCGGACTCCAAAGTCCATGATGTTTTCAAATGATCACGTGATGCGGCTTCTCTCAAATTAAAAAAAAAATCCAAAGGGAGAAAGAGAAGGAACCAGAGCTTCCTGAAGACTCTTTCCTGTTTTGCTCTAAGCAGGACTGCCGGCCCCGTCTTGGACCCCACAAGCCCCCAGCCCGGCTCCCACAAGGCACGGCAGGGGCTGTGAGCCAGGCCCCTGTGACAGAGCCCCGCACAGTGTGGTCCCAGCCCAGCCGGTCGGCTGACTTGGGGCAGGCCGGAGACGGGAGAAGGCCAGGTCCCGGGGGCTGAATGACCCTCTTCATTACTGCAGCCCAGGCCTCTGCAGGAGCAGCCGCACACTCACTCCAGCACGCCAGAAAATCCCTTAAGGTCAAGAACATTATTCATGTTCACATTAAAATTCAAAAATTAAATAATCACGATACTAAAGATAAAGAAATTCAGGGCCAGGGATTTAGCTCAGTGGTTCCACCGCCTGCCTTACAAGCCCAAGGACCTGAGTTCCATCCCCGGTACCAAAAAAAAACCAAAAGAAACAGAGAAGAAATTCAGATACAAGTGATATGAAGAGCTAGTTGAACAACTGCGTAGTGTACTTGTGCCTTTTTCTTTACTTTTTTGTACCAGGGCCTCAGGGCCTCACTACTGCCATGCAGGTACTGTGCTGCTGAGCTACATTCCTGGCTTCTTACTTTTTCTTAGCGTCCATTTCTTTAAAACCCTTACAACAGAAGAGCTACTTCATCTCCTAAAAAGCCTGTAGCTGAGCTTAGCATAGAAACTCATCGTATTCGGATACTCTTCTGGATACTGGTTAAGTAAGCCGAGTCAATTCCAACACTGATGTACAGTCTCTCCTGGAAGGGACAATCACCCTAGGGAATGGACAGGCATTCACCACACGTGTAAGTGGCCACGCTTGCGAACCGCACTGCGAGTGAGAACCGCGTGCAGCCCAGCGCTGCTGACCCTGCCCTCGCACACCCCACCTGCCAGACCGCGCGCGCCGCCCATGGTGCAGCACAGGGCCGGGCCTGCACGCCAGCTGCGGAAAGCCTGCCGCTCAGAGAGGCTGCTCTGCTCCCAGCTCAGCCGGTCACCTCCATGTCATGCTGCCCGGCTACCTGTGCAGCGGCGCTGGTGCCCACCACCAGTCCCGCTCTGCCACTTCCGAGCTGTGCGGCCCTACATGAGTCACCCAGCCTGCGTCTCAGGGCTTCTTTGAGGGAACAGTGGATCTCTCACAGCCACCGAGGGCTGTAAGTGACTGGGCACACAGGTGAGGGTCACTTACAACTCTGTGCAGCTTTGAGTGCAGGAAGCCCAGCCTCCCTCTAGCCCTGGCTCCAGGCTCTTCACACACTGGCCTGCACCGTTTCTGGGGATGCCCTGTCCCTTCTCCAGCCCTAGTGCCGGTCATGAGCCCTAACCACTTGGCTGCCCCCACCCCCGGAGTGCTCACTGAAGGACCCTCTTCAAGTATGAATCCAAGGCCAGAGGGGGAAGGCTGGGGTGGGGCGACGCTCACAGCACAGCCTGCAGCAGGCTGTCAGGAGGTCCTCAGAGTCAGGGCTTCCCAGGGCCACTCGATTTTCATACAGGCAGAATTATGCAGCCATGGGCACCCCGTGTCCCTGCGCTTGGCCCTCCCTGCAAGCCACTGGGATGACACCCCCTATTCCCAGCAAGGCAGCCTGGCCTGACCCTGAGCCCCTCCAAACTGGACAGCTTCGGAGTGTGGAAGAGGGCCCCTACCAGAGCCTGTTCCAGAGTAGCCCCAGAAGGATTTGAACTCCCTGCGGGAGAAGGCTTTCATATCAGGCACAATAAAAATTTGATGATAAACACATTTGCAACTGTTCCTCAACTGATTAAAATAAGTCAAGTTGTAAATATCTAAGGTCAGTGTTGTCAACTCAGCTTTCTAGTGTGCAGGTGACAAGCTATAAGAAATAAAAGGTTAAATTCATCTACATTCTCAGTACAGACTAAGTTTCAGGAACTCAGCATGCAAACAACACAAGTTCTGCAACTTCAAAGCCATGGTACTGCTCATCTTGCGAGGTTCACAAGGCTACGCTGTGCCACCCGACAGCACATTTCCGTTTGCATCTGGTATACCTTTTGTATTTTCTTGGAATCTTTCTGAGCATTCTCTCGGAGTGGTACTTTTCCAAATAACTTCCATCCCAAGTCATTTTGTCTGTCAAGTCTTGCATTTTGTTTTCTAGCAAGCAAATTCCTATAGGAAGAAAATAAAAGGGTTAGGGAACTTCTGGGCATTTAGGGTAGCACTAGGACAGCTGAATCATTCCAGGAAAACAAGTCAACTTTCCTTGTTTCCTTGTTTTCCTCCAGTGGGAGGAGCCACAGGCTGTAATTTTTCAGACTTGATTTTCATAGAATTATTCACCAAGAGAAAGACCCTAAACCAGAAATAAACTTCTTGTCATTCAACTGTTACATCACAAACCCTGCAATTCAGAGTAAAGAAATGTGTCACATGATAGCCAAGGGTATCGGAAAAACTGAGTTGCACTAAGTGGAAACCCAGGCTCACGCACTCATTAGCTGTGTGACTCCGGACCAGTACGTCAACCTCTCTGAGCCTCAGTTTCCTAGGTTTAACAAACAGACGTCACCCCATGGTCCACAGATTGAAATTTCAGCTATCCAGTATTTAAGAATAAGAGCTTCAGGGCCAGGGATTTAGCTCAGTGGTGCCACCACCTGCCCCGCAAGCGCAAGATCCTGAGTTCGATCCCTGGTATCTCCCCCAAAGAGCTGTTTCAGTGCTTAAGCTCCCTTTAATTTACATTATCTGCAAAATAAATCTGTATTATCTATTTTAAGTCTCCAAGTTGGATATTTAGCTCGGTGGTTTCACGGCCTGCTGCACAAGCACAAGGACCCGAGTTCGATCCCGATCCCCGGTACCAAAAAAAAAAAAGAAAACTCATGAGACTGTCACAAGGTCTTCTCTCCCAAGAACACGTAAACAAGTGATTCACAGGACACAAGTCCTTGCTGCTTGCACAGAATGACAATGTCCTGGGAGGCAATGTATGGTGCTGTTGCTGAGAACAAGTGGTTTTGGGGTGCAGGAGGAAGCACAGGATGAGCCTGTGCCGGGCTGGACCAGAGGGAGGCACTCACAGAAACACAGGCCCTGTCTCGCAGAAGCAGTGCCGGCTTGCCAGGCCTGGGATGGCCAAACTGGGAATAATTTAATCATTGAAATAATAAGAGGAGTGGATTATAACCCACTGCCTAAACTGGAAATCCATGACCCAGAGAGAGAGCAATAAATCAGCATAAACAGGGAGGGGAACCCTCAGAAGGCCGCCTAGGGATGCACCAGTAATATTGTACTGGAGATGGGAAATGGGCAGTGGATGTGAACACCAGTAGGTGTCACTTGGAGGAGGAACAGGATTTTTATACAGTTTGAAAACATTTCCCAAAAACTATCAATTACAAAGGCAAAAACTGTTCACTTGACACTGGAGAAACCCAGGGGACACCACTCAGCCAAGTGCTCAGAGCTGAAGCCACCACCACGAGGACAGCAAGCCTGGCCTGAGGCCAGCATGGCGACCATAGATGCAGTGCCCAGGCAGAGCAGTGTCTACACCCAACAGTGCTGAGGTCCACCTGGGCCCGAGGGGCTGCGCACATCAGAAGGAGACTAGGGAGACCCCAGATTGCATCCTGGCCACGGAAGGAGAAAGGGCTCCGAGGGTTCCTGGGGCAGTTGACAAAGTTCAGGTCTAGACTCTGTTTGAAAACAGGCTGGGATCAAGGTTAAATTCTCTGATTTTGCTATTGATGCTGAGGTTCTGTCCCAGAATGGCCGATGTCCTTGCTTCTTAGGCAATATGCTCGTACAGGGAGGGGTGAGGACACGGTAGCTCCAACTTTTCTAATATGGGGAAAATATGTATACAAGGCAGGGATAAAGAAAAATGTGTAGAAAGAGCATGTGGAAGTTTCGTACAATTTTTTCTTGTAACTTTTCAGTAAATTTGAAATTATATCAAAATGAAGTTATAAGAATTTTCAAGGGGCCGGGGATTTGGCTCAGTGGTTTCGCCACCTGCTGCGCAAGCGCAAGGACCGGAGTTTGATCCCCAGTACCAAAAAAAGAATTTTCAAAAAAGAACAGTTTCACTGTGTTCTTGAATTCCGGCTGTGGTGATAATGGAATCCATTCAGGGGTTTCATAGCCTGAGGCAATTTCTGTTTACACTCACAGGAAATGAACTTTGAGCTCTCTAGCCATGGTGATTCCCAAACCTCAGATGCCCGGAGACACCAGGAGGAAGGCACTGAGAGTCCGAAAAGCTTACACCTGCTGCCCCTCTCCAGAGAAGCTGCTGCTGCTGAGTCAAAATGCACTGGGGAGGGGAAGGTGGGAGCGAGGGACTGCATGGAACCCCGCAGGACGCCCTGGGTGTGGGGTCTGGGCCACTGGTCCCCTATGTGACACTGAGATGACAGGGCCAGCGGGACGATGACCTTGAGCACCAGGGCCAGGTCCTTCGGGGCAGAGGCAGAGCTCATCACCTCAGAGACCGGAGACCAGAGACCAGAGCCATATAGCCGCTCCCTCAAAGGGCCAGGACTGGGCCCTGTATGGGTTATTTTTTGTGGACAACAGGATGGAAACCCCAAAACAAGTCACTCTGAGAGAAAAGGCACTACACGCAGCGGCTGAGCCCCCGGAAGCCCCTCCTTTTAGGCCGGCTGGTGGTTGGGCCAGGAGCAAAGGCCTTGCCTGGCCAGGCTCGGAGAGCACCCGGGACAGGCACAGGCCTGGGCAAGGGGCGGCCCTGCCCAGACCTCTATGCCATCCTCCTGATGCTCTGGAAGCACCCTCAGGCGCCCTCCAGGGAACCCACACACGGGCCCTGCTCCCACCACTTCCCAGGCTATGCCACCCATGGAGTTGTCCCACCTTGGCCTCCAGACACTGGGCCTGCGGCAGCCATGGCTATATTTGATGGGCGCCCGCCAGGGCACAGAACTGCAATCCAGCTTCTTCCTTCAGGGTTTCAGCCCATGCGACCCTGCCCAGCATCAGAGTCCTCACACATGCCCTTGGGTAACCACATCAGTCCGAGCCTGGGCTCTGCCCCTCCCCTCTTCTGGACCCCCGGAGTCCATCTGGCACCAGGAGGTGCTCCGTCCGTCCATGTCAGCTGCAAACAGAGCGGCCGCAAGTTTCCTGGGAAGGGAGGGAGTGGAGAGGCAGGACTCACACACACACGCACACACACTCACACGTACACAGGCTCAAGGTGAGCAGAGAGCAACCCTGACCACAGAGGAGCTCACCACAGATGCCCTCTGGGTGGGTGTCCCTGGGAAAGAAGGAGCAACAGAAGAGGTCAGGAGAGGAGCACCCCACCATGTCCCCGAGGGGGTCATGGAGCCAGGGTGCCCGCAGGAGTTGAGCGCTTACCATGTAGGGGTGGAGAACATTTCCTGCCTTGCCCTCAGAACGCAGCCTCCTTTGCTCCGCACCCCGGCAGGGCCAGGAGAGAGCATCCTCTGTCATGGAGGAAAGCACGCTGCAGGCAGCACAGGGACAGACAGCTGTTGGCCCACATGCAGTCTCGGACCCAAGACACAGAGACCCCAGAGCCCTGGGCTGGAGGATGTCCACCTGCACGGCCTGGCAGCCCCAGTGCTCCGCACACTCCACCTGCCCCAGCTGTCCACGTCAGCGGGGCTCCCAAGAGCCACTTGGGGTCCTAGACCAGGCGACCTGCCCCACCTGCACAGCCCACCTGGCCTGGGTCTGCCTCACCTCCTCCCTGGCGCCCATTCTCATTCCTCCTGCGGCAGCTGGCGGGCGGCGTGTGTCTCCCCACCCCGTGGAGGACGAAGCTCCTGTGCAGGCCGGGTGGAATGGAGGTGCTTGGGCAACCCCGTCCCGGCCTGTGGTTGCTTGCCAGGGGCCGCTACCACATCCAGAGAGGAGCTCTCGGATGTGCAGGGCCTCCAGCCCCGGCCCAGGGGGACACACCTCCCACTGCCCGGCCCACTCCTCCAACTCTGCCCGCTGCTCGTCACCCCATGCTACCCCTCGTCTTTTCTGTGGCTGCCCCTCAGGAGGCTCCATGGCCCACCAGACCCTGAGCCCCTGAGCTCCTGGGTCCCATCATACAGGCTGCTCCCCAAACAGGTGACCTGATGATTAAGCCCTGCCTGCCGGCCCCCGCCATTTCTCCTGCAGAGGCTGAGTGAGCACCAGAGAGCCGGACTGTCCCCACACAGGCCTCCTTCAGCTGAGCCTGTGCTCTGCACTCCCAAAGCACGGAGCTCTGAGGAGACCTGGTTTATAAGACCAGGGCGCTCCTGAGAAGGTGACTCGAGTGGTCCCCCCACTGCCCACCATCTGCCCACAACACCTACCCACACCTTTGCTTTTTCCCTGAAGTACTGGGAACTGAACCCAGGCCCTCTGCATTGAGCTGCATCCCCAGGACTTTTTTACTTTTATTTTTGGGACAGGGCCTCACACTAAGTTGCCCAGACTGGGCTTGAACTTGCACTCTTCCGGCCTCAGCCTCCCACAGTGCTGGGATTGCAGCCGTGTGTCACCATACCAGCCCCCAGCATCATCCTAAAGTCCTGTTTAAGCAGCCATGGGGCAGGAGGGGGTAAAGCCACCCCGTCTGCAAGGGAAAAGGCCGATCCCTGAGGAAGGGAAGCCTGACAGCGGGGAGAGAAGGCCCGGGCTGACTGTGGCGTTTGTCTGGTGGCCTTCATCTCTGTGGGGATGACTCAGAAAGGGAAGGAGACAATGGAGCCTGCCTGTCAGCTCTTCTGTGGAGCTGCTGGGAAGCCGCTCACAGGGACGTACAAGCACAGGGCGTCATGGAGCCAGGAGCAAGGTCACTCGCTGACACAGCTGGCTGGGACCCTCGGGACTGCACACGAGCAGCGCGCGGGGGCACCAGCTCTCGGCCTCCTCCTCTCCCTGAGTTCCCAGGTGTTTCTCCGCCTTGGGTCTGACCAGGCACCCTGTCCGGCAGGAAGCCGATAAAGCACCTCAGAGGGGCAGGGCTAGGCTGAGTGGGGGAGTACCCCAAATCTCAGGGACGGCCACGCCCCTCACCTGCAGGCCTGTGCCTACTGGCACCTGAGACGTGGAAGCCTTCATGCCGCAGTACATTAACAACAAGAGCTCGTGACACATTCATATGCCTCCCTGAGTGCTAGGGCTGCAGACGT